GGTTGGGGGGGGGGGGCAGCTGGTATGTAACAAAGAGGCACGAAGTAGCCAGATGTGGGGTCCACGGGGCTGGGAAGGAAGGGGTCACGGACAGTGCTAGAAAGGAGAGTAGGGCCAGGTCACAGCCAGCCGGAACGTCACAGGGACAGAAGGTCATCTTTTAGCCAAGAACAAGCTGCTGCTATTTCATATCGTTAACAGCATCACCCCCAGAGGACCACGTCCTCGGGCTCTTAGAATGAGAATTGCTAAGCGCAGCTTTGTGAATGTCCACTCCTTTAAATAACGTTGCTAAATAAATTCGTACAAAGGTCTTTTCCTTCTGGGTTTGATGATTTCGGTGTATATTCTGGGCATCTGTACACACTGTCGGAATCGAGCTTAGGGAGCCTGTTTTGGAAAAGGTCACCGGGCTGAGAGTGGCCGTCAGATTCCACAGGACAGTCAGAGGGGCGCTCCCCTGAAATTTTGCACAAATGCCAGAAAATGTTACAGGAGGGGTGGAAAGTACACGTCTCCAATACAATAATGCCCAGAATCATCTATTTTCAGAGCTTTCCGGTTTTTTCTTGAATTCCAAGGAAGAACTTTCAGAGTCAGCCTGGTTGAGTCTGAGCTAGTGTCTGCCTCACGTTGCATGTGGCCTCCAGCTTCTTTAGAAAGCCGCCGGTGTGGAAGGGTTCAGGGTTAACCAGATGGCGGAGGCTTAGGGCATCTGCCTGCCTGCGGCTCCTGGTCACACGCAGGCCCTTCCTACCCTCCCAGCTGAGTGTTCTGGCCTCGCCTCACAGCCGTTCGGGCGGGGGAATCATAGCTAACCACTGCAAAGTGTAACGGTTTCAGACAGCACGGGGGTCCTGTTATTTCTCGCTATTGTGGGGGTTGACTGGTGGCTCTGCTGCTGGGGTCACTCACGCAGCTGTGTTCAGCCGGCAGACGAACGGGACCAGAAGGTCCACAGGGCCACATCAGGGCCAGCTACCACCGTGGCACATTGGCTCTTCTCCATGGGACTGCTCAGCCCCCTGTGGGCGGGACTGGGCATCTTCACAGCCAGGCGGCCTTGGGATTCCCAAAGGGGGGCACAGACCCTTCAAGGCCTCTTACGGCTCAGCCTCAGGACAGAGAGCGCGTCCTGTTGGCCAAAGCCATTCCCGAGGACAGCTCAGATTCAAGTGATGGAAAAGGGGCCTCGTCGCAGTGCATGATTCACTGGGGGCCGATCGTATACAGCACACCAGGCTCCAGGAACGTCACCAGGTGAATGTGGAAGGAGGCCCAGGGCTGATGCCAGGTGGCCGGGCAGAGGCAGTGCTGTGAGGGGGGACTGCCCGGGACTTCCTCCTGTGATCACGAAGCGATTTTCCGTCCCCCTGCCACCCACAGTGACACGTAAGTTGACTGTGAGGGGGCCTTAAGCACACTAGAGGCGTCCTGAGGAAAAAATGCGACTCTCTCATGTGCCGCACACTTTCTTGGACCTACTTTGATTGTGGTTTGGAGCCCAGGGCCATTGGGAGGGCCTATAGTTTGACAGAATCGAAAGTATGTTTTGTCGCAGGAAAATCCAGTCGACCCCAAATGACTGCTCTGTGTTATTTATATTCTTCCAGACAGCCCAGTGCAGCGTCCCAGGCAAGATCTGCATTCTCCTCCCTGGGTGTTTTTCTAAGATATTTCTTCAGCATCTAACTTTTCTTCCCATTCCCTGTTTTCCCAAATAGCAGGCTTTATTTTGGTCAGATTTAACCTGCTTCAGCGCAACGTGGGGCAGTTAAAACACAGACGTCAGGTGGTCCTCCCGCGGCCGCAGTGGAAGCAGGTGCTCAGCCGGCTCCGTTAAGTTGCTCAGTGCTCAGCGTTTTCCTTGCGATGAATGATACCATTTGCATGTATCTTCCACATCCCTGTGATCAGATATTTCCAGTTTTTATTCATATACTAGTTCAAACAGGAGAACATAACTGATATTAATCACCTTGCCTTTTTATTTAAAACTAAGTAGTGATGAAAACTGTTTGCCTTGAGTGTTCGTATGACTAGATCATGACTCCCTGTGACCAGGCCATTAGCCATGATGCCAGGCATGTGGCCACCCACGGTGGGCGGTCATGCATGTTTCCTGATAACAAAATAAGTCACCATGTGAAAACCAATGCCAATTTATTTTCAGAATTCCTGCAGAGTTTGTATACTCGGTTCTTTTTTCCTGCAAGCTGTGAAAATCCGACTAACCCAGCCAGGCTCCTCGGTTAGGCGGTGAGACCCTCAGAGGAAAGGCCTCCCCTCTTATCCTGCCCCCCCATGCTGCCGGCCTTGGGAGGAGCCCTGTAAACACTGGCTGAGTGGGAAAGCAGAGACGGTTCAGGTTCCGTGAGCACCGGCTATAGGCCAGGTACCGGGCTAAGCTCTGCATTTATGTTACCAGAATATTCCTTATAATTATTATAAAGTAAGCAGGTGTCTTTATACCTATTTTACACATAGGGATGAATGCAGGTCCGGGAGTTGCCTCAGGCCTCCTGGTCCCCAGTGGTGGAGGGAGGTCAGCACTAGAAGTGGCCGATGCTGGAGTCCTTGACCTTTGCCGTGGACCCCACAGCCAGGGAGGGCGGACAGGGAGGGGGGAGGG